TTCAGGAGGGAGTTATGGGGGTCAGAAACAGCTTTTGGGGTGTTTGGGATTGAGTTACAGAGATCAGGAGAGGCTTTTGGGGCAGCTTCTGACCTTCAGTCCTGGGGTTGGGACACAAATTTCGTGGCTCTTTGCAAAGTGGTTGGACCTGGAGGGGGGGGCAAAATAGATCCTTTAGGTCCCTGAGAGCCCCCCCAGACCCCTGAGAGCCCCCCCAGACCCCTAAAGAGCCCCCCCAGACCCCTTAGGGCCCCCCTGACTCCGTTTCCCCCCCTCAGGTCGTGGATTTCCGGAAGAAAACCATCACCTACTACGACTCCATGGGGGGCATCAACAGCGAGGCCTGCAGGGTCCTGCTGTGAGTATCCCGGGATTTGGGGGCGGGAATGGCCGGGGGGAACCCCCTGGCTGCTGCCCCACAGCACCCCACAGCTCCTGTGGGGATAGGGGACAGTGCCCTATAAACCCCACAGGGACAGGGGGACAGGCCCTATAACACCCCCACAGCTCCTATGGGGTCACTGAGGACAGACCCTATAACAGGGACACTGAGGACAGGCCCTATAACACCCCATAGCTCTTATGGGGTCACTGAGGACAGGCCCTATAAACCCCACAGGGACAGGGGGACAGGCCCTATTACAGGGACACTGAGGACAAACCCTATAAAACCCCACAGGGACACTGAGGACAGGCCCTATAACCCCCCATAGCTCTTATGGGGTCACTGAGGACAGGCCCTGTAAACCCCACAGGGATACTGTAGACACGCCCTATAAACCCCCCCACAGCTCCTATGGGGTCACTGAGGACATGCCCTATAACCCCCCACACTCATATGGGGTCACTGATGACAGGCCCTATAAACCCCACAGGGACACTGAGGACAGGCCCTATAAACCCCACAGGGACACTGAGGACAGGCCCTATAACCCCCCATAGCTCTTATGGGGTCACTGAGGACAGGCCCTGTAAACCCCACAGGGATACTGTAGACATGCCCTATAAACCCCCCCACAGCTCCTATGGTGTCACTGATGACAGGCCCTATAAACCCCACAGGGACACTGAGGACAGGCCCTATAAACCCCACAGGGACACTGAGGACA